AAGTGATAGAGTGAGAGAGAGAGAGTGAGAGAGAGAAGGTGAGAGAGAGAGAGTGAGGGTGATAGAGTGAGGGAGAGAATGAGAGAGTGAGAGTAAGTGAGGGGAGAGAGGGAAAGACAAGGGGGAGGAGAAGTGTAGAGAGAGGGAGGAAAAAGCATGGAGAAAGGGGGTGATAGTGAGGGTGGAGGAGGGACAGAGAGAGAGAAGGGGGAGGGAGAGAGGGAGGGAGAAAGAGAGCTAGAGTAGAGTAGGGAGAGAGGGATGGTGGAAGAAAGAAAGACCGGAAGAGAACAAGAGATAGAGAAAGGGAAGAGAGGGGTGAGGAGAGAGGGCAAAGGGCTTGGAGGGGAAGAATTGAGGATATACAAGGGTGGCAAATAGTGGAGAGAGTGACAGATTGAGAAGGAGGGAGAGAGAGGGAGAGAAAGGGTGACAGCGAGAGTGGAAAAGGGACAGAGACAGATAAAGGGGAGGAAGGAAGTAAAGCACGGAAGAGAGGGAGGAAGTGAGGGGCTGAGAGGGGAAGAGGGGGCAGATGTTGAAGAGAGGGAGAAGGATGGAGGGAGAGGAAGGGGACGAGAGGGCGGGGAGGGAGAGTGAGCGACAAGGGAGGCAGGGGAATGGGTTTGAGAGAGGGAGTACTGGGGAGTGTTGAGGTGATAAGGGAGGTGAGAGAGAGTGAGAGTGATAGACTGAGAGAGTGAGAGTAAGTGAGGGGAGAGAGGGAGAGACAAGGGGGAGGAGAAGTGTAGAGAGAGGGAGGAAAAAGCATGGAGAAAGGGGGTGATAGTGAGGGTGGAGGAGGGACAGAGAGAGAGGAGGGAGGGAAAGAGGGAGGGAGAAAGAGAGCTAGAGTGGAGTAGGGAGTGAGGCTTTGTCTGAATACGGGGGCCCCATTGACTAGGAGCCCCTCGATGTCCAGTTTCTGTCCAATCCCATCACACCATCGCTGGTGCCCTTGGGTTCCTGAGGAATTTGCTAGAATTCCCATCAGAATCCTCTCTGGCTCTCACTCCCTTCCACAGCCATCTGGATGAATAATCCCAGAGGCCTTTGCTAACATCCTGGGGACACGGTCTTAAACCTCACCATGGAGCCTGGTAGGACTTCCAATTCATTCAGAAAGTCTGAACTTGAGAGCTTATGGTAACCATAACGCCTCGGGCACACTAATACCCCTTCTGGGAGGGAAATCTACCATCCTTAACCTGCCTGGCCTACACGTGACTCCAGGCTCTCAGCAATGTGGCAGACTCTTAATTTGCCTCTGAAGTGGCCAGGTGCCTGTTCAAAGGGGCAACTAGGGACAGGCCAAGGCATTAGGTTCAGGGTCAACAGTTTCTAGTTCTTGCCCTGTGACTTACAGATCCCACGAATGGATAAAAGGAGATAGAACAGTTCTAACATCTCCTCATGCCGGTCGAATGGCCTCTTCCTGCGCTGTATACAATGAGCTTTTGTTAAAGTGGGACTGTGGAGGAGAGTCCAAGCCCAGCAGAAACTGGATTTCCTCTGCAGGAGCTAGGGCCCTAAGAAGTCTCTGGCTTTACTGAGAACAAATCCCAAAACCCTTACCCACCAAATAAACACGACAACCACCCCCACCTCTCCAAAATCCCAACCGTACAACTGCAGGGAACACTAGGACCCTGAGGAAACACAACCAGTTTCCAAAAATGAACTTGGATCCTGCCCTCCGCAGTGAAATGGACTTAAAACTGAGACGGAGCGATTTAAAATGGGATGGAGCGATTTAAAA